ACTACTGTTCGGCTGTTCCGATCGAATACGGCCTCCCAGTCGCGCTAGCTCAGCAGGACTGACATAGTCAGCTGTCTCCGGAATAGCTTGCTTGATCTTGAGGTTCGTCTCTCCGTCCAAGTTGGCTGTTTCGATGTAGCACAGACCCTCCGGCTCGGAAGAAGCGAGTAGGACCAGATCAGTTGGGAAAGGTGATTCAGATTCGACGCGCACAATGTCGCCTACTGCCACGTTGACCCATTTTGTGTCCACGAATGAGGAGCCTTTGAGAACCTGCGCCTTGGAGTTGTTGAGGTCGGAATCGGACTGTTTTCGCCGGTAGTCCTCAATGTATTCCTTGACCGCCGAGACCAATAGGACTATGCCGAGCGGGACAATTGTAGTGAATCGCGAAGTGGGCGAGATGCCGGGAATCTGTTGTAGGATGGCAGTGAACAAGAAGAAGAGGTTGGCGTATTTGGAGAACTGCTCGTAGAGGAATTTCGGGAGGAAGGTGACGACGTTGTATTTGGAGGTGGAGATATGGTTGTCGACGTATTTGTTCGCGGCGTTGGCAGGCGGATTGTTCAGGTGGATGATTCGGGGCCCCAGTGTGGATGGGTCTGGCGCACCCCGGCCGAAGCCGAACTTGAACGTGCCTAGCCCCTTCTTTGTCTTTGACGACTGGCCATCGTCGCGTGCGCTCGCGGTCGCGCTGGGCTGCCGTTGGTGTGCTGCGTTCTCAGTCAATGGAAGGTCCATCTCAGAGTACTCGTTCCCCTGCCCGAACATGTTCTTGACCCTCCCCGTCAGACCACCTCCGAGGCTCAGGATACTATTCCTGTTGTGCGCCTTCTTGGATGCCCCGCGCTGTATACCTGGTGAAGCCTGATCATACGCCCCTCCTGCAGCATAGTAGCCCTGTGTTGAGGCATCGTCGTCGTGTGGTATGTCCGCGTCCGAGTACCGTTGGTAGTTGTTCAGGTCCGACGTTTGCGAGTAGGCTCTGTTATTGTTTGCTCCCCCCAGATAGGGCGAGGTACCCGTTGGTGCGCCAGGCCCGCCCGGCAGGCCTGCCGTCGCCCTCCCACCCCCAACAAAGTCATCGTAGGACACCGAGGGCCGGCCCTGGGGCGCCGCGTCGGAGCTGTCTATGTCGTACCGGTGGAGGAGGTCATGGTCGTTTGCGGGTGGTGGTGCGCCCGAGTAGTATGTGGGTTGGTGGTCGTCGAAGTCGATCAGGTTCTCGCTGTGAGACGGTCCCCCCGGCGGCCGGCTGGCCATAGCGGCCGAATGTTGTGCTGGGCGTCTGTCTCCGAAGAGCGCGGCTTCTCTACCACTTCATGTACGGGTCGCCAGTGTGTCGTCTGCGCTGCAGTGTGTGGGCGCGTCGCGGAGGTATACGGAGTACGGAGGTCTTGCGGAGCTTCCTCGTAAGCCGCCCTGGTAATAGTAGGTCACACAGCTTGGCCGGCGTTTCGGAGTTGAGTTTGTACGGGTTGCGCGCAATGTGTCGTGATCGCGTGTATATCGTGGAAAAGCGAACGTCACCCTTTCACCGGCGCTGGCAATGGTCGCGGATTTGTTTGCAAGGTTTCGCTGCTTGCCCGTCGTCGAAAGATGGAGGCACGGACCCAAGTGCTGAGGCAGTGCCTACCCCGATCCTGGACAACCTGCTGCAACCGCGCCCCTGGGGTCTCGATATATCGACGAATGATATCGGATTCCCTTGGCCGTATGTCTCAAATTACACCACGCTGCACGCACGCGCGAATGCTGCAAACTACCCTACTTGCAGCGACATTACGCGGCGCCACGTTGTGGGGAGAGATTCGGTGGAGACCCTGACGTTGCGCCAAGTCTGCATGCTGAGACTCCCAACAACGTTCTTTATTCCTTTTCCCAAGGCCTTGTTCTAGAATACCCAAGTCCATCCGTCAACATGTCTACCCTACGATGCGCAATACTGTTAACCACCTGTTAGTACCAAAATACCATTCGGCTGCCCGGACTGCGCCAAGTACCGATACGGCTTGTAAGGCGGGCACACTACAATTTCTCTCAGCCCGGTTCGTGCTGCGGCATGTTGAACTCATCGAAGATGATCAGATCTAACCGACAGAACGCTTCTAGAATTTTGCTCATATATCAAAGTGCCGAGCTCATTAAACTGTGCATCTGCCACACAGTTGAGAATGTGCATTTTGCAAGTGCATTAACAGCGGCCTTAAGCCTTAGTTTGTATTACACTTTATAAAGATAAAATTTTATTTTATCTAATTAATTACTAATAATACTACTAAATCTAATAATTTTAATAAGTTAAGTAGCTTAATAATACTAAATTTATAATATATAGCTTATTTATTTTTATAATAGTAATAGTAAAGCTATAATTACTATTTTTAATAGCTATTTATAATACTATACTAAACTTATATAACTATTTTTTTTAACTTTTATAGTAGTATTAAACTATATAATAACTACTACTAGTATTTTTATTTATATATTAAATATTATATATAAAATATAAAATTTTTTTTATTTATAAAATACTTTTTTTACTTTAAATATAAGCTTAGTAGTTATTATATATAAAATTTACTTTTATATTTCTTTTTTACTATATATTTTATAAAGTAGTAATTTAGTCTTTTACTATTTTAGTATTTTTACTACTTAGTATAACTACTTTTAAGTATTTTTTTAAAGTAGTAGTATTAATAGTAATAATATTAAAATACTTAGTATATACTTATATTTTACTCTTTTTAAGTTTTAAATATATTTTTTTAAAGTTAATAAAAGTTTTCTTATTATAAAATTACTAAACTTAAGTAAAACTTAAGTTTATATAAAAGTTAGAAACTTAATTTAAAAAAGTAAGTAAGTTATTAAAAATAAAGTTAATAATACTATAAAAGTTTACTAAGCTAATAAAAGTAAGTCTTAATAAAAAAGATATACTAAAGTATAAAACTTAGAGATAAAAGTTCTTAAAATTATATAAAATAAAAATATTAGTATTATTAAAAGTATTTATTATATAATAATAGCTTTAAAAGTAGAAGTTTATTTAAAAAAGTTTTAATATAGTATAAGTAGTAGTAAATATATAAAAAAATATACTAACTTATATATAAAAATATATAGTATTTTTACTTTATAACTTACTTTATAACTTATTTTAATAGTTTTTTAACTAATAAGCTATAGTTATATTACTATTTTATTTAAATTTTAAGAAAAATAATAAAGTAATTATATTACTTATATAGTAATTTTTTTAAAATAAGCTACTTACTAAAGTATTAGTAGCTAAGCTAAAAAAGCTTAGTATACTTTTACGTATACCTTAAATATAAAGTATATATTAAACTTTATTTTATACTTTTATAAAATACTTAGTAGAAAGTAGTTACTTATTTAAAACCTAATTTATTAGATTTAAAATACTTATTACGCTATTTAAAATAAAATATAAGTATATTAATATACTTCTTTTAAAAAGTTAATATTAGTTTTAATAGTTAGAACTATATAGATTATTAGTAGAGTAAGGCTATAGCTTATTCTTATTTACTTATACTTATAGGCGTATTAGCTACGCCTAAAATAGTACTATATATTTATAGCCTATAAATTATTATATATCTACCTAAAAATAGTGTAATTCTTTAATTATAGTACCTGTATATAGTAATAGTAGTTTAAAGACTACTTAGTAAGTAGTCTTTATTAAGCTATCTTACTATTGCAATAAATTATAAGTCTAAAAAGTAAGTATCTTACAAATGTCTTTAAGATAAAATAACTAATACAGCTATAGCTAATAGCTAGTAGGTTATAGTAGTGCTTTACTAAGCATGTAGATAGTTAGTGTTCCACTAATAAAATTTTCTAAGCGTCCCGCGGACATCCTCCCCGCCCCGCCTACTATACTTCTAGTCATGGCAAACTTCATCCTGGAAAGCTGTACAACCATGCTCTCGAGCTAGAGATTCCATTGTTTGGTATATAATGTTTGTTCAAAAACTGGTTTCCATCGAACAACATTACTAGCCCGGCTAGCTCAATCGGTAGAGCGTGAGACTCTTAGTCTTTCACGGTCTAACAGACACGATTACTCAGTACATCTCAAGGTTGTGGGTTCGACCCCCACGTCGGGCTTGTACGTTCTAGTCTTTTTGTTTCGGTTCATTTGGTCGCTTTAGCTCTTTTTTTGGGTGTTGAGGATGTTGGTGGATGGCTTTTCCATCACCACAACCTTTTTACCCCACCACTACACCCTACGAAACCGTATCTGCACACTAGAACGGTCGCAGCTCTGCTTCAAGATGTCGCCACATCTCTTGTATATTTGTCTGGTCTGTCCCGGGCTGAGATGTACAGTCCGTTACTCCCCCGTCGCGCTCCCGCTGCGCCAAGCAGCTTTTGAACACCCAAGCTTAATCGAAGTTACAGACATAGGTGGCTGCTGAAACCCTTGCGGATGAACGTCCTCTCGCCATGTATGTACTCCTTCCAAGAAGGCAAAGGCATCAACTTGCCCCAAAGACGTTTGACAAGAAAGGCGAGTTCAGACGACATTTAACATCCCTTCGCTAGCAAGCTTCAAGTATGGTACTCCTATTCGTTGCCCTGCCCGGAGGTCATCGCGCGGCCCAGCTTCCATTGTCGTGGCCCTCACCCAATTCTGTCGTGTACCACTAGCCTACGGCATCGCCACCCTGTTGAGATGAGATCAAAGAACCTGTTATGCAAAGATATTGCCTTTTTACACGTTGTGTGCATGACCAAAACCTATCGTCGAGGTATACGCTGCAATCACGGTAGCTGTACGCAGTGCTAAAATATGGCTTGGGGGTATTCGCTGATTTCTACGCCTTTAGGCATTCTAGCGAAGAAAAGTAACATATCTCTATAGTAGTACTTGGTCTTTTGTACAGCTATTGAACAAATACATATATGCTGCAAATTGATAGTGTCTAGATAATTTACGGTACTAATTGAAGACCTCATGTAACTGTAACACTTCTTCGCGGGAATTGCGAGAAGAAGGTGTGCGCTTCCTCTTCAGTCTTGAAGAAACCGTCGACCAGACCGATGCGGCGGTAATTAAAGCCTCCGTCTTCTACTGGCACTAGAACGATGCCACGAAAGTGCCAGGTAGGAAGCTCATTCCGCCATGTACATATAGGCATGCAGAAGGCTTGTTTCACCATGTCGTCCTGGGTATCGTAGATGATCTCGGTGTCGTGATAGACCGAGTCATCAGTCTCAATAACGAGAGGTTTTTCGAGCGCTGAACTCGGATCAAGATATTGGAAGTGGGCCAGGAAATTATTGTTGTCCAGAATGCCCTTTTTTCCTGTTGTGACGATGGTGACCCAGGGACCTCTCAGCTCGAACTGTCCGCCAGTGACTTCGCCCGTATCTAAATCATTCAGACAATGCGTTATCGCCATGAAATCCGCATCGCTGATATAGTATGTCAATCTGTCCCTCTTTGGCAAATTAGGGTAAATTATCGCTCCATCAACTGACATTGGAGACCAAGAAGGAGCCCGATAAACAGCTAGTCTCCTACCAAATCCTCTCATTCGCCAGCACAACCCAAAGCGAACATCTTTGTCCCAGAGGCCAGCAAGATATGTATGGTATTTACCAGGTCGGCGAGTGTTCAACGCTGATCTCATGTCATTTGCCAAACCAGATATAGCCACAAGCTTGTCAGACGCATAAGTGAGTTGGCAGGTACTGTATATGCGCAGTGTATCATACCACTCCCTGAGAAGGTCCTCATAAGGGTCTCTGCCGTGGCGAAATTGTATGTCACCAATAAACAGTTTCCATAGTCTTGTTCGTCCGCCTTCCAATACATGACTCTGTTTACCAACGTCCAAAGACTCCGGGGTTTTGTCAGATGCGCGTTGTTCGCGACACTCCCAGAAGACTTGATGTGACCCAAAGTGTAAGACACGGGGTGATAAGAGACGTTCTTGAAGACACCAGCCACGCTCCATCGTGACGTTGCCCATCTGGAAAGACTCTGCCTCCTTCCTTTTTTCATCACGATGTACAAAAGGCACGGGATTGTCGCACGATGTGTATGCGATATTGACGATAGTTGGCTGGACTCTGACAGGGTCTCGTGCGTAGAACAGACCAGGATTGTCGTGAGTCCCCGCAATAGCTGAAATGGTAAGGTAGGAGTTGCGGTAGATAGCTTGCATTGTAGAAGCTTCGGCTCGCCAATCGTGTAACAGGTCCTGTATAATACAGATTGCATCAATCCATATATATCGGATACCTAGCCATGATGTGACATCAATGGCATCGACATATGTTTTTGGAAGGGAACTGAGTGGCAATCCAGTGCGCATCGTATCGAATGTAGACTCCAAAAGACGGGTCTCGCCTTTTGTCTTCATGGCACCCCAGCGATACGACAGCGCAGTGTATCTTGAGGCGCAAGGCACCTCTTCTCGTAAAACCAGGCGACATGTAGTGGGGTTACCAACATCGTTGATCTCAAGCAATCTCGTAGGCAAGAAAGCAGAGTCACTGGCTTGTCCGCAGTACATATGGTTCGCGAGACAATTCTTATCCCATTCGTTGATCAGCTTCCGAGTGCACTGGCCACCGGTGTTGTTGTCCAGCTCAAGGGCCAACTTGTTGCGTTTCTGCACAACTTCGAGGGGCTTAAGACATGCTGACATCCTAGAATACCCTTCGCTGCTTATCAGATCCATTTCTAGCACTTTTTTGTCGACCGACACTTTAAATGTCGTGAAATATCCATCGTCGGCTGATGTAACTTTATGCCCATCGTATCTGAAGACAGCAGAGAATCTGAAGTAAGCACAGACTAGGCACTGCTGTTCCATAGACTGTATCAATGAATCCTGTGTACGGTGATGCCCAAACTCATAATTTTCGATGTCGAACAGGGTGCAGCGTTCTCTGAACTGGGTGCCCCGAGAGCTGTCATCTTCTACTGGTAAGACTCGAAGGCGCGGCGTGACAGTGGGGTCGTGTATTCCCTCCAGACATCGCTTGCAAACATCGCAAATCATCCTAGAAACGGTCGTCGCGAGCGCGGGTTGAGTCCTGAAAGGGAGTATCGATGTAGGACGTTCGAGGATCTTTTTGTTGTGTTCCAGGCTCGCCGTGAAGTCGATGCGAGTTCAAAAATCATGGGCACAACTTTACCAGGAACGTAGATGCACGGCATAGTTAATGCGTTACAGATGGATGGTGACGTGGCGGTACATGTAGGTGTGCGGCACAGTAAAGGGATAAGAGAAATGCGTGACAGTTTGGGACACATGTGCGGGGTCGTAGATGCCTGCAATCTCAGCCCCTCCCACGCGACTTCCTTGCACAACCTGACCAGCCGTTTTAGCATGGATCTAGTACTGTTATCTATCCGAGTAGTACAGTTGCCCTAGGCCGAGATGTTTCCTCGTAGATACAGTCTGGGATCATATAATTTTTAGGTGCGCGAAACCTTTCCTCAATTATCACCATCATAAAAACGCATAGTCATCAAGCACGTAACAGTGTTAATTTGCAGATCAAACGTTTATTATCATGATATATACACATCATCAAAGATGAAAAGAGACCAACCCCTACTTGTTAAGCCTCTTAGCCCTCTCCGGGTCTCTCCACCAAGCACATTGCTCCATCCTAATAGCAGTACCCTCATCCTCCATCATCGAGCCACCCTCTGTTGGAGGGTTGATCACCAGCTGCCTACCGCCGGTACCCTCATACTGCTCCCACTTGGGACTGTATCCCAAGGCGTATGTGTTTGGGTCTCCACTGACAACGAAGCTGGCCCAGTAGGCACTGTACATGTCTGCAATCTCAGGGTACTGTGTGTTTGCCTGTCCGTTGAAATACGAGGAGTCACTTGCGTGCGGTACACCCAGGTATGTCGGCGCCCAATTTGGTGTGTTGAAGCGCGCTTTGTACACGGGAGCGGAGGTAGAGGCCATGACGGAGGCGGTGTCTTGAACTGGGCAGATGTAGGAGTAGTCGCCGTAAGCTGCGGATACGCGGGCAAATTGGTCTGAGACGTAACCTAGTGTGCCCTGCTGGGGCTTGACATCTGGGTACAAGGTCTCGAGATCGGCGAGATCTTCCGGTGTGAGGCCGGGTGTGAGGGTCTTCCAGAAGTTGAGGAACTCGGCGTTGGTACGGAGGTCTTGGGGCGCGAAGCCTGTGCCTTCGTCGGTCACGGATGAGATGAGCATCGGGATGTTGAAGAAAGTGCCGTCTTCGCCGGAAGTTGAACCGCGCTTCTCAAGGAGGGGACCGGGAGAGACGGGTTGCCATGGCCATGTGATGTTGTAGTTGTGAGCGTTATATAGCGAGGAAGACATGAACTGGATGTCATCGGCCTCTGCGGCGCGGAGACAGTCAAGAGCGGCTGAGCTGGGCGACTCTGGGCAGTTTAGGTAGTCCATGATGTCTGCGACTTGCTTTTGGTAGAGAGGGTAGTCGACACCTGGGAAGGCGCGAGCGGTTGGTGAACCTGAAGACAAGATGGCCTTGCTGAACAAAGGCTTTCCGGCATCCTCTGCGTAGTTGTGGAAAAGGTGGATACCGACCGAGTGGCCGCCAGCACTTTGACCGGCGAGCGTGATTTGGTCTTTGTCGCCTCCAAAGTCGCCGATGTACTTTTGCAAGAACTCCAATGACATCTTCTGATCGCGGATACCGAGGTTGAGAAGACCCTCATCTTGCATGAACTTGGCTGGCAAGCTGCCGAGCGCACCCAGTCGGTACTGAACGGTGACAACCATAACAGGCTCGGGGCTTTGCTCAACGAATAGCGGACCGTCGAAGCTGCGGTGAGAACCCGAGACGAACGAGCCACCGTGCAAAAAGACCATGGACGGGAGCTTCTGGTCCATAGGGATACCCGAGGGTCGGTATACGTTGATGGTAAGGCAAGCTTCCGACTGCCCGAGGGAGCCGTACATGTTCTGGAAGCAAGCCGGTCCAATTGATGTCGCATCCTTTGTACCATCGAATGGTTCGGGCCATGTTACTGGCATAAACCTTCCGTGACCAACAGGCTGCGTAGAGTACTCAACATTCATCCACGCATCCACTGGCCGACTCAAAGTCTCCGTCTTCTTCAGGTTCATAAGAAGCTGTGTGCCCTGGAAAGATCCATACTCCGGCAGGGTGACGAGAAGAGAACCGTCTGGTGTCTCATAACTCGGAGGATCCGGGCGTTGGGGTGTACCAGGCTGGTATGGCCTGGCCTGGCTGAAAGCGCCAAAGTACCAGAATAGCAAAGCAGTGCTACCGGAGAAAATCATGATGATGGCTAGCCTTCGCTTCCACCATCGTGGGGAGAAATGGGTTGCTTTCATAGTATTTTCCTGCTCCCGTACTTCTGCCGATGGCGGTGCAGGGAGTCGGTCCGCCATGGGTGCCGACTGGCGCTATCGGCAACGGATAGCGGAGAGACTGCGGGGATGCAGGCGATGTGACTATTGCTACGGATAATCTCGCATGCGCTTATTCGCGTTGGCGCTAGCTTGCGGTCGTGATGGGTACAACGTTGGTGTTGAAGGGTGAGAACGGCACGTGGCTGGCGAATAATGACGTTGCCGAGCCACGATAGGGCACTACCGAGTCAAGATATCGGTTGTGCAAGGGTGTCCGGAGCCATGTTGTGAACTTGCATCTTCACTTGCCTCCGAAGCTTACCCCCATAAAGATTACTTTCCCTCTCCAAGGCGCTTGAGTAAAGGTCCGTGGAGGCAATTTTCTCTCGTCGCCCGCTCACCGGACGCAGCTGGGCATCCATGATGATTACGTGCCTGTATTAGTACGGCACGGCTGCAGAACAGAGCTGCAGAACAGAACTGCATCGCGCAGGAAGATCGCACATAGACCCTATCCTCCCAGTCTGCTTTTGGGATGATCAGCTCATTTCTATTGGGAAAAAGCTTTTTGAGTTCACAGCGAAGCAATAGATTGTGGCGTCCGGAGGAGGAGAAAGCATCTGCACCCCGCAAGCTAACGCAGACTAATCACAGTGTTGGCGGCCTCGCGCGGCAAATGTTCTGGGTCCGAAAAGTAACTGGCGCCAAGGCTGCGCTTTGCATTGATATCTTCCTTGTTGAATCCAGAACAAAAGTTGGAGTACTTCTAGCGTCCCCCACCTCCAGTGTCAATGCACACAACCACACAATCTCCCATCTCTGCCTACTTTCCCTGCTCTGCGGCCTCCTTTTCCACGGCATCCGCCATGTCGGCCAACGTGTCGAACTTCCAGTTATATACAGGATCATCGCGGTTTCCCATGACCGCACCCGGCCTGTAAATCCATGAACTCTTGATTCCCATGTCCTTTGCTGGGTGGTGGTCGTGATATTGAGATTGCGCCGTTTGCAGCACCTCGTGCTTCTCGACTCCGAATTGCTCCTTCACTTTGGCCAGCATGTATTCGAAATTCCTTAGGTCGGGCTTGTAAGATCCGATGTCTTGGGCGGTGTAGACGGCGTCGAACTTGTATCCCTTGAGCCCGTTCGCATTTCCGATCTTGAATGAATCATGGTCGACGTTGGAAAGAACGACAAGCTTGAAGTACTTGGACAACCTCTCCAAAGCAGATGGTATATCAGCGAATCCAGGCCAGTGTCCGATACTCGCTCCAAATGCTTTGTTCTCTTGTTCACTGGGCTTCTCCAGACCAAGTTTCTCACACAACTCAGGAAGCACCATGGCGAGTACCTCTGAGTACTTGAGATGGCCGTGTTCGCTCTCAACTCTGGCCTCGATCTTGTGCATGACTTGCATAATGTGCTTGCGATCCATGTTCTCTTGACCAGACTTCTTAAGATGGGGCTGGAGGGCGGTCAAAGCGCCCGCCTCCCAGTCTATCAGGGTGCCATACACATCGAAAGAGAGGAGCTTGAAGTCGGTAAGCTTGGACATGATGGTGTTTGGTGTGTTGTGGAAAGATAAAATTGTGTTTGGGTTTGAGACACTTGAGACAACTGAGATTTGTAATGATGGTTTTGAAAGCGATGTTGGCGATTATATACCGCATCATGACTGTACAGTTGAAGTTGCCCAGAGCCTCTTGGAACCCCACTTGGTACTATGACGTTAGCGGGGCACCACAACACGCCCTTCAAACTACATGCTGGGGTTGCGACGATCAAGACTGTGATAGCAGCTTATAGGTCTTGATCTAGACGCTGCATACGCTTTGTAGTGGGATATGACCTTGCTTTGGGGTTGAATTTCGGGTTATGTAACGCGTCATACACATAGCTGGCGCGTGAGTCGCGTTTAGTTCGTCTCCCTTCCATGGAACTTGAGTATGCGGCATCGTTCATTAGACGCAAGTGTGATAAACTGTGGAGCGTATCTAACAAGCACCTGAGTCATAATCGGACATTATCCATCCAGAATCGGACCGCTATTTACCCTCGGTCTACGCAGTGTTGACAACTTCAGTTTTCATCTCGTATGGCAAGCTATCAATCTTCGACTCCAGGACTTCCTTGGTTAGCCTCCACAAGTTTCTCTGCAACTTCTCATCCCTGGCCTGCTTGGACGCTTCTTGGACCTTCTTATCAGGAACGATGTAGGAGTTCTGTTGGCAATTAGCTTGAGTTTCTGATGAAGAGGACTTCCAGAGTCGACTTACTTGAATCTGCTCCTTCGGAACATCGGGCGACGC